ATGTGTTGGAATAAATAACTGTGTTGTCATGCGAATCCCACTATGATTCAAATGAAAAATTTTATTGACTTACTAATATTTTTTAATTTTCGATATTTGGATTTTTCAGAGGTACACATGACATACCAGACAATTAAATATCTTACAATTAAAAATAAAAAGGTGCATTTTTTTCATCTAAGTGTGACTGGAATTTTATTTTTAATGCATTAAGAGATAAGCTTGTTATTTTGCCTACAGATTTCAATAGCTAAAGTACGGTTTATGTTTTATGTGGAAGCAATCTGCGGCCTTTGCATGGTCAGTGTGCAGTTGCCTACCTTCCAGTCAAATATTAAGTGAAAACTAGCTTAAGAATTTTTATGTTTTTTTTTTTTTGAACTAATATTAGTAATCTTGGAAAAACAAAGTTTAAATTAAAACATTGAATTAAATTAAAACATTGAAATGTTGAAGTACTAATCAAGTCTTTTGACTTAGCTTTTTTTTTCTCTTTTATGAAGCAAATATTTTAAGCTCAAAAATATGTAGTTGAAAGGTTTATTTAAAAAATTAAAAGATGTAAATGTAATTTAAATGTTAAGAGTATAATAAAATAAATTTTTTCTCAAAGAAGGTCGGAAACTTTATTGAATTTAATTAGGAAAAAATATGTAGTAATGCTTCAAATACTTCTTGGTTCAAAAATATAAATATATTTTGTTTTATAATTTTTAAAACTTATTATTACTGTTCCTATAAGGAATCTTTAAATTAAAATCAATTGATATATAAAAAGTAAGTACATTTCAGCCCTTCAAAGCATTTTTTTTGTGGCCTTCTCCTAGAAACAGTTGCGGTCCCTTAAACTGAAGTAGGAAAAATGGAATATTTAATGTATTTCCTACTAGCAAACATACGGCATGATTGCTGGCTAATCAATTTGTATGTTTCAGTCAGTATAATCAGTTTGTATGTAATGTGGATGTTTATCTTTCCATATAATTCCTGCAAGATATCGGGCAAATTTAAAAAAAGTGCTACTTGTCAGTAGCGAATTTTAGGTTTCCACTTTTAAAAGCATCATGCCACTTTTTCAACAGTTGAGAATTTTAAGCACTTAAAGAAAATGGAACTGAATTAAAGCAAATTTTTTTAAAAGTGCCTCTAATATTTTAGTTTTGTGTCAGCACTTAAAGACATTACCAAGATTGATTTTTTAGCTTTATGTAATGCTCTGTAAGCATTAACATTTTTAGTCAGAAGGGTAGCGCGGCAGTTGTAATTTACAGTGAACACAAGAACATGGACATTAAAAAAGGTTTTTAATATCTTTTCTGGTTAATATAAATAGGCTTGTAAACTGAGACTATTAATTTTCATAATCTAATGAAGTGGAATTATCACTTTTTCTAAATTAATATTGTTCCACCCTTTGTGGCTAAACATTTTAATGATTGCGTGTTTGATATGAGGTCTATCCATAAACTAATATATAACTCCTTAACCTATATTTTGTTGCTGCCAACTTTTGATTTTCTGGGTGGATTTTATTTTTATATTTGAAGTGATGCACTATTAATGCTTTGATATTTCAGTTTTGATTTTTTAAATTTGATTTAAAATGATTTTGACTACCATTATATGTAAATAATTAAAATGCATAGCTGCCAACATGAATAAGAAAAAAAACCAGTAGATTTTATGAAATAATATAAATTTTATGATAATTGTTGCAAAATGTACTAAATATTTCACACACATGGAATTTTAGAAATTTTTAGTCATCAAAGAGTAGAAAAAACTGCAATATTTTTCAGTTATGATTAACATTAAATGAATGAAATGTTATTGTGGTTACTCATAATTTTGAATAGTAGTAGGCATTTAATTCATCTAAGATAGAAAAAATATTTTAGTAATAATAGTAGTAATTAATTAAAAAGGGAGTTAATAAAAATAAACTCAATATTTTAGATCAAAAACTGATTTTCATTAATGAGGCTAGCTTCATTATGTATTAGTAACACTTATTTAAATGTATTCAAGCAAGCAATAATCTGTGTAAAAATTTAATTTTATTTGGGATTTTTTTAGGAAACTTAACTCAATTTTAGGAAATTTTCAAAAATCTACAAAAAAAAAAAAAAAAAAAAAAAAAAAAAAAAAAAAAAAAAAAAAAAGAGAATTTTTATTGAACCAGTAAATCAGACAAAATCCAGTAGTCCACTGGAAAATCCAGTTGAGTTGGCAGCTATGAAAATATATTTATAGAATGTTTGGTAACCACTTAGTGTGGACTTAAGGTGCTGGTTGATATAATTTTAAAGAGATTTGCTCATGGTTATCAAAGTAATTTTAATGTCATTACCACTAGTAAAATTTTTTTGAAAGAGTACAGATGTTGGCTGCAATGATATATGTATGCAGGGATTTACAAATAAGCAAAATTTCTGGGAGCTAGAACCAATTAAAGGTGAAAAAAGATATTTTTTTTTTAATTATGGAAATATTCCATTTATGCCCATAAAAACTTCTCTAATTCATTTTCCCATAAATTTTAATAATCTTATTCAACTTACAGTATAAGATTTTTATAAGTATAAAATGCAGATCTATTAATTTACGAAAACAAATTTTTTTACATTCATTGACTTTTATTTGAATCTTAAGAACTTCTATACGCAAGTTAATGATATTTTGTTAGAAAGCAATTTTTTTTTTGGCAATTAATAATCTGCCATAACAATATCTTTATCACAATAATTTTATAAATATAAAATTTTTTATTACAGAAAAAAAAAGTACATTTTGAATTGATTTTGCGTTTTCAAATTGGTTTTATTGGAAATACAGTTAATTCCAAATTGTCCTTTCGTTTGTTTTTGGCATTTCGCCTTAGTTTTTGCGTCAAACTTAATTTATTTGCACTGTTTAATTTCTTTAGTTGGAGTGCATAATATTGTTAGAATTTTGTACAGCAGAGCCATTTCCAACTCTTGTGATTTTAAACTCTGCATTTTATCCATTCTTAAATTGTTACAAAATAAATTGAGTTGTTAAAATAAAAAGTTGACATAGAACTGTTTTTTTTTTTTTCTTCTTACTTTTTTTAACTTTAAGGGATTGGGCATTTGATACTGAGCATTTGGCTTTATGCATTTATATCAGTCTAGAAGAAAAATCACGATTAGAAACCAATGAAATAATTTAAATACTTTATTTCTAAGAGCTTCAGTATTGGTTTTTAATTCTGCTTTCAATTTAGTTTCAAAAAATTTTTATATAAAAAGCTATTTGTACAATTTTTTTTAAAAATGTTTTAAAAAATTTAGCTTCTATTTTGATTACTTATCTTTTTGAAAATTAAATGCAGATTTTTTAAAACTTAAATAATAACGTGATTATATCAAACACAGCTGATTACTTAAAATATTGTCTGCCACTCCACAGGTTTTAAAACAAGCCTCTGTTCGCGTCAACCTTGTAGAAAGCTTCACCTGAAACGCGACTACCTCGCTTCGCAGAGGTGCAAAACACAGGGCGTTGGCCTTACAACAGACGTGCGGTTAGTTTTTGGTTACTATATTTGGCGATTTTGCCTGCGTAAGTGTATCTGGTTTTAGTTTTGGATTTATCCTTAGGGGACGGACGAGGAATGTTAAATAGTTTTATTATAATTATTTTTTTAATTTTATTATTTATTTAAATTCGTTCTTGATGATATTTGACGCGTTTTTCATAAACTCAAAAAATTTATTTTCCCAATGAATAGCATTGTTTATTACTCCTGTTTTTCTCATAAACTTTTGTTGATGATCCCCCCCCCCTTAAATAAAATTGAAGTTTTAATTTATGAACGTTAAGTGTCTCAACATGGGCATCGTTGACGTGGAGAACGGTTGGTAATAATTAGAAATTTTAAAAACCCCTTCCTAATATTTCAGACAAATGAAACAAAATTTCACGAATCATCATCGATTTTAATTTAATTAGGTTAAAAGCCAGCGAAAACTTTAAAAAAAAAAGAATCATTTTTTAAAAGCATTTTTTTTTCTTTCATTTTAATCAATTACTGATCACTTCAATCAATCATTTTTATTGACTTAATAAATTAATAAAAATTTTCCACAAATTTTTTTTCTTGCGCATTTTAAATTTGTTTTAAAAAATTTAAATGCCCCTGTATTTTAAAATGTAAAATAAAAAGATAAAAAAAGAAGGTTAAACGGCAATTTTTTTTTGTTAACAATGCAAATTCGTCACTTAAATTCAATGATTGATATTACATTTTTGAAAAGAAATGAAACGTTTGTAATGAGTTAAATTCTTTCTCTTCTCTTAATTAAATCTCATGCTGGGGCCAGATGAAATTTAATTAAGGGACCAAAATTCTTCGAAAATTTTATTATAATGAAAATAAAATTGTGTTGCTTTAAATCATTCTGATTTCTTACAATTAACAAAACTGTTTGAAAACATATTCTCGGTTTCTTTAATTTAATTCTATATTTTTGTTAAAATTATGCTTAGAAAACGATTTTGCAAAGATTAAATTTCAAAAATATATAATCGTCAGCGAATTAAGTTAGTTAAATGAGGACGTTAAAATTTAAAATAATTAATTGAACATAATTTTTTAACACTTTATTAGTAGCTGTACTTTTAATGTTATTCTTATTTAACCTCCTGTTCTCAATTACTTCATAAAACTTCTCTTTTTATAGTTTTCATTATAATCATTTTATTACAATGTTTTTTATTTAATGAAATGGAGTATATTAAAAAAATATGAATTTTATTTGAGGTTTCCAAATAATGTAAAATGAATAATAACAATCTATTGTTTTTGCATATTGAATGAAAAAAGTTTGGGTATAATAAAATGGATAGAAGTTCTTAAATTGTGCATGCGCAAAAACTGCAAATTTTTTTGTGGTTCAGGGGTATTGAGAAAATTTTTATTGGCGGTAGTCATCGTTCCGCCGCATTTTCTCTTTCCAACTCGTCTCTAAGACTAGTTGTGGCAACCCTACAGGCGATGGTAAACAACGGATTGTAAGGTGAAGAGTGAAAGTGATTTTACATTCGAAAACTAATTGTAAATAAAAACTAGGTACCCATTTCACTGAAATTTGGCAAGTAAAAGAGATAATATTATGTAAAAATTAAACTGAAATACCAAATATGAAATGCTGAACGAGAGCAAATTCACTTTCCTGGGATTATACACTTTGCCGTGCAGTTTTTTCAATCCCATGATTCGTCGGTGTTCCAATATGTCGCGTGCTGAATAAGAGAAAGCTATTAAATTTTCTGGCCATGAAATCCACTCCATCATGGTAGGTTGAATATAGTTTATTAATCATAAGAAACATTTATATATAAATATGCTCTTATGAAATGAAAGAAGCTTATATTTCCTCCTTATATACTTCATTCTAACAATGGCGGATGCATATATCGGGATTCTCTTTAACTACCGCGTGTTTTCAGATCGCTTAGAATGATATTCATTCGCTTTCACTAAAAACCAAGTGAAGTGACTTACTTTGCTCGACAAAAGGCTTTTATTAAATGATGAATTATTTAGCTTTATTTTCAAAATAATAAAGTCTTGATATTGGTATTTGCTTCCATTTAATTAAATATTTTGATACTTTATATGATATATAAATTCAGACATAGGTTTTTTTTTCATTGTTTCGTAATTCTTATTAAATACCTTTCATTAAAAAAAGGAGAAAAAAAATCATGCCAAAATTTATTAATACGTATATTGGATTCAAGTGATTTTATGTAGTTTTTCTTTTATTGTACGTAACTTTAGATTTTATGTGGGGTGAACCAAGTACAAATATATTTAGGGGAGTCAAAAGGGGGAGGGGGAAGTATGACAACAACAAATTAGAGCACTGTTAAGCTGAGGAGAATTATTCGAGTTAAGTATTATTTAAATATACATATAAATTAAATTTAATTGGAAAATATGTGACATAAGTTAATTGTTTATCTTCGGTCTTAAATATCCTCGGGCAGGGAACACTTACACCCATGTCAATTTTTCACTAAACTAAAATATTTCTAATTGACGCTCTCTATTTTTCCAATTCAGGTTTTATGTATTTTTATCTTTTGTACGAAAGCAATTATAGTTAAATCGTTTTAATATTCTTTTAATCGGATCTTTTTTAACGCATTTTAAATAAATAAAGATAGAAAATTTTAACTTCTTATTTTTAAGTAATAAAAAACCTCGTCTAAGTCAAGAACTGCATACTCATTACATTCTGAAGTAATTTTTTTTAATTAGTTTTGTAAACTGTTATTTAAGGTTGAATGTGTTAGGAATTAGTATTAATTTTATGAAAACTTACGATTAATAAGTTTTTGACATGTTAGTTTTTATTCGCTCTCTCCAACTATCATGTCAAGAACCTAGCCTTTTATTTGTTCAAATGCTGTTCTAAAAAGCACATTGCTGGTCTATGAAATAATAAATACTATTTTCCTAATACAATTTAACATCTGTTGAAAAGAAAAAAGTCTTTGGGAGAAAAAAATGCTTCTTAATTTACAAAACACGTTACCCTCTACATAGTACATTAGATACATAATACCTCCTATTACATAATAACCCCTTCAAGTACATGTATTTACGTAATATTAATTAATGTATGCATACTAACAAAAGATCTACTGGAATTAACTTTAAAAAACACATTCTAATAAAAAAGAAGCAACTTTTAAAATTTTAATTATTTGTATATTAATTATCATTCATTAATTTTTATATTATTATTTTAATAATTATAATGAAAATTTTAATAATTTTCATACATATTATAGACATAGTAATATGAAACTTCCCGTTCAAAAGTTAAAATACTAGAAGAGAATCAAATCTTAACCCATTAATATTATGTTTTCTTATTTTTAACCTCAAACAATTTTGGTTATAAATTAATCAACATTATAATTTGAATTTTGTTTTGTATTAAAACTCATAAATTTAGCGAAGAAAATTTTTCTATTTTTTATTAATTATATTAAATGTTATTACTTAGTATCAAAATAACAGTAAAATTTGAAGTTAATGAAAATTAAAGGCAAGCTAAAATATTATCAGTGTATAATTTTCTTCTAAAGAGTAAACTAAGAAAATTGATTTATTGATAACCATTTTAAAAGCTTTTATATAAATATATATATGTATTGCAAGCTGAAAATTATGAGAAAATAAACATTTAAAGGTGCATTTTTAAATTAAAGCTACATATATAAACAAAAATGATGGTAGCATTTAAAATTACTAAATAAGTTCATTAATATATCCCTCCTTCCAGAAAAAGGAACTAATAAAAATTTTACCAGTTGAATAATTGTAAGGAAATAAATATTGATAATAGTTATTTATTTATTCTGAGAAGAATTCTATTACAGAATTATTTTATTTATTTATTCTGAATTAATAGTTAAATTTTTTCAGTGTGTTTCCAGTTCACATACATCTAAAAACAGTTGATTCATTTTTAGAAAATAGAATATTTAAATTAAAAATAAGAATCCATAATTTAACTAGATGTCAGAGTACATATTATATTTATTTAGGAAAACGAGACATAATTCTTTTAAAAATAAAACATTATAATAGACAAATAGATTTTATCATTTTGTATTAAAGTAAAATAAAAAAAAATTTATTTTTTAAAATAGCAAATATGAAAGGAAACTAAACTTTTTCGTACTATATTAAATTTTATGTGTTTAAACTTATAATTATATATATATATATGATATATATATAATATATGTATAATACTAATTAGAAATTCATACTACCTAACAAAACGCGTCTGGATACTTAACGTACAACTAATTAAATATTTAATGTTGAATAACCTGTGTTATCGCAGGTAAATTTTAATATTTATTTATGCTATGATTCAGAAGACATTTGGGACTGACACGCTTATAACAATGCTTATAGGCATCTAATCAAATCTAACCTGAATATTGATTCAGCGTTATACTAAACCAAGTCTCATTGCCGTAATATTAAACCGCTTAGTATAAGCATGTGAATTATATCACATGGTTAGTCGTAAAGTTGATATTTTCGTATCGTGATCTGTGGTGCCAACTACAATTGCCAAGGTGCCAAATAGATTTCAAACTTAAAATTAAAAAAAACAAAACAAAAAAAAATGTAGATGTTTGTTCGGGGGTTGGCCTTTCTGTGATGTCTTTTTTAGTTTCTCGCAGACCTCTGCCCTCAATTTGCCAAGACGTGGTGATTATTCTGCCACAGATCAACATATGGAAATCTCTCTGGCCTAATCATGCTTCTCAAGTTGCAAGTACTCAATTATTTAACACAACTTTTTAACGTTTTTTACTTAACCTAACGAAATTGGGAGGTTTTCAAACAACCTTTTAGCCCTTAATTTGCCCCCTTTGGGTGGAATGTCGAAAAATCCTTAATCGGTGCCTATGACGTAAAAGAAGCCCATTGTCCAAATTTCATACTTCTAGCTTCTGTAAGCTACGATGATTAGTTGATTAGTCAGGACATGTCTTATATAAATTTTTGTCTATAAATTTATATGCTAATGTTTTAAATGTACCTTAAAAATTTTTTTTTAATGCATTTTATGATTTTGTTGTTATCCTACCAATGCTCGGAAACCTAATCTTAGCATTCTTTAAATTATGATGTGTAATGATCTGTCATAGAATAGACCTCATTAATACTTGTTGTTTAAAATATTGTTCAAAGCAAAGGTAACAAACAAATGCAGATTCTTATATATTAAGAATAATTTAATAGGAAGGAAAATGAAAATTTTTTATATTTATATTCTGAAAAAACTAGAATTTGTATTAAATATAAAAAGAAAAACCAACTTGACTGTTTATAAAGATGCTTAGTTCTGAAATTTTTTTCTTTTTGTAACCATTTTTTATTTGCTCTTCTACATTTGTATTTTTATTTATCCATTAAAGGCTCAGTAAATATTATTTATATATTTGAAAACTAAAGAAAATTTGATATCACGCCTATATCATACCTGCCAACTCTTCCGGATTTTCCGGAAGATTTTATTTTCATATTTAAAGTGGTAGCAATACTTAGGTTATTCCAATTAACTTTTTGAATTATAATGATAATTATAAATGAGTTTGACCACCACTACATATAAATAATTACAATAAATATATGAAAGCATAATAATCCTTGAAAAGTGAATTTCAACAAGATCAAAATATAAATATATTTTTGAGTCAAATTGTTTTTCGTTTATTGTTTTGCAACCACTCTGAAAATACATTTTCGGAAAGAGTGGAAGTTGGCAGGTATGCTATATGTATTCGATAATTATTGTTGCAATTTTGAATATATATAAAAAATATTTCTTTCTCAAATATCTTGTCCCAAATGATAAAAGAAAAATGGTTTTTATTATAACTGTTTGCCTTGTAACACTTGCCATATATGTTATTGAGTAAAACTTTATCGTAAGCTATTTTTTGCCTATTTATATCTTAATAATTTTTAGCACTAAGAACTATGAAATTATATTTCTACTCTTTTATTTTTATAGTTAACGGTTAAGTGATTATAGCATATGTTCTCTTGTATAAATTTACATGTTATCCATCTTAGAAAAGTATATTAAAATGCAGCCCTCTGTGAATTTTGTTAAATGATAATAGTGAATATAAACTGATTTAATTATTATTTAGTAAAAATGCTATATTATAATTATTATTCTTAATTTAAGAAAGTTCCTAAATTTGGGGGCAAAAAGTATTATTTGGCAAAACCACTTGAAAATTATATAAATAGGCAGTTGTTTTGGTAATGCTTAAAGGTTAGTTTTGCTGCATGTATAGGTTTTTGACAGTTTTGACCAGTTTCAACTTCTGTTATGCCAGAAACCTGTTTTTGATATTGAAAACCTACCCTTGTGATGAACCCAATTATTTTGTGATAGAAATAACTAAATATTATTGTGCCATCATGGTGTAACACCTGTGTCTTATCTGACTACCTTTATTGAAATTAAATCAGTTTTCTTTTGCTAAATTATTTATGTTTTAAGTTGGAAAAATTAATTGAAAATGGATAAAATTAAATTTTTTTTTATTTTTTCAGCTAAGCATTTTTAGTCAAATTTTCACAATATTTTGAAATGCATTCAATTCAACGCTCTCTAGTCTTACTGATACATAAGCCCCATTTGCTATTTCTATTAACTGAACCAATGATTCTGATGTAATATTCAAAATTTGATTTAATTTTTTTTATTCTCATTGAAAATGTTTAATGTTAAATAAGCTAAAAATGTTTGACAATAAGTGTTAAAAACGTTAACGTTTTCAAATCAAATTGCCTTTATGGATTTTCCATTTGTGTTTGTAAAAGTTTCAAGGAACTTATTTAATCAGCTATTTATTTGATGATGAATGATCTCTATATTATATAATACCTCTCAATAAAATTTACATATTATTTACATATTTTCAATTAATAATGTGGTTCTTACAGTTATTCGGATATATATTTATTAAATAATACTGCCTCATATTCTTTTAAACATATTTTTTTTCCTATAATGTATAAGAAAAAGTTTTATTATGAATAATTCTTCAGTATCCTACTTCATTAAAGTATGGGATTTTTTTTCTTCAAAATTAACCCTGTGTTTTGCAGTTATGAATAAAGGTTTATGGTGTTTTTGTGTACTTATGATATGAGGTCCTTTCTTTACAACAACTATTTTCTTTTGGAAGACAAGGTTCACTATATCGAGCCTTCACCTTATTTGAAAAAGAAAAAAAATGGCTAAAAGAGTAAGAATTGCAAAAAAATAATTTTTTTATAGCCAATACAGTTTAAATGCCTATATGATGGCCTTTTACTAGTGACTTGATCAAAGAAATATAGCAAATTGGGTCTTGTTTTACGCAATATTTTTCTGAAAAAATTTATAGGGACTTACAGATACTATATTTTTTATGATGCTGTATTTTTTCAGTTTTATTTTATACTAATTAAATTTATAACAAGTTAAAAGAAAATATTTGTTAGTGATCTTGTTAAATCAAAGCTGGCAAAAGCTGAGTTTGATTGGATATGCTTAAATCTTAATACAAATTTATATTTCAGATTATGCTAATGATGTTACCTGATTAAAAACTTCATTTGCTTAAAATATACAAATAGAATAAAGCCTTTTTTTTCTAGTGTGTATCTCACCTTTATTTTTCCATTTTTCGTTGGCAACATTACGTTTTTAAAAATTTTATATCACTTTTGTTTCACTTCTTATTTACACCTAGCAAGGCGTGAAAATGGGCACCTAATTTAAAATGCTTGAAACGTATTTGCCTCTTATTTCCAATCTAAAAATTTTTGAAGCCAATGAAGTTTTTAACTCGTTTTTATATTACCGCTTCAGTTTCTTGCGATTATTTATTTGAATATATTAATGTATAAATACTAATATAAATTGACAATAATATAAAAGTTTAGATTTTTGATCAGAAGGAAACATTTGCAATTTTCTTTATTTGTCTCCATTTTTTTTTCAAGCTCTTATTTTTTGTAGACTTTTGAATCTATTTAGTTCCTTAAATAGATTCAATGTAACAAGTAATGTAATGGAATTATTTTAGTTTTTATTAAAAGATAAAATTTTTTTTCTACTTTTAAGTTTTGGATTTTTTAATCAGTATAAAGGTCATTTGCTGGTGTGGAATATTTTTATAGACAACTGCTTTCTTTGTTTTATCTGGTGAACAGCGGAGGTTTTCTTTATCTTTTTCACTCTTATTAGTATTAGGAAATCAATAAAGGAAATGACTTTAATTAGTTTTACTTTATCCTAAAAATATTACATTTGAAAATAGTTTTACTTATCATTTTAATTGTTTGAAATTTAATTAATTTGCTTCATTGACTTCCTATGTTTGGAAAGCTGTATAAATTTGAGATAATACTCTGTCATTTCTGAAGTAAAATAATGATTATTCAATTTTTTTAAAGTATGACCACGAGTCAAATACTATGGAAAGACACTTTAGAATAGTTTGTACTTGTGCAAGTTATTAATATTATCATTACTGATGTTTGTTTTCTTTTTTAGCATGAATGAAGTGGTTTGGCCTGACCGACCACATGAAGTGCTGACCAACGGCCATCCCGAGATGAGTGGGGTTCAGTCTGTGAGACACATAGCCACCCGGTCACAGGATGATGCCATGGTGGGCTATTTTTTTCAGCGTCCGCAGACTGACCCCGATTTTCAAAATTATGCGAAACAGTCAAGATGGGCCCTTGGCGATGACTCTGTTTTAGAGGTTGGTCTTGTTACTACCTTATTTCGTTTAAGCCTGTTTAGTTAATCATTTATATAGCTGTGTGCTCAGATTTTGTTTTAAAGCTTCAGCTTAGAGAAAATATAAGAATTATTTTTGATTAAAAATCCATTTTGTGTAGATGAGTTCTGAGGCTTTAATGTAAGAATTGCTAAGTCAAAACTTTAAGATGCTAAGAATTAAATTTTTGCAGTTTTTTGAGGAAAAAGGTAGAAAATATTTAAAAAAAAAAAAAAAAATTTTGTTGTTGTTAATGCTGAAGCATTTGCTCAATAAAAATAAATTTTGCTCTATTTCTGTATAATTTCACTTTCATTCATTTCTGTATAATTTCACTATTGCTTATAAAAGCTAGAACCTATTTTAGTTAAAAGCATAAGCTAATGACAATTATTCATGTTTATTGTTTTCGTAAATGATTGACTAGAAAATTATGCATAGATATATTTAATTACTGCTAATAAAATAGTATAAAATATAAGTTTTTCATTTTTATATTCTTGTTTTTATTTCTGTGCTCGATTTCTATTTTTGTGCTCTATTTTAAAATTTCTGGTATAGTTTGTCTAAGCTAAGAACTCTTACCACAAAGTCTGAGGCCGTCAGGTGCTATGGAAACAAGAATGGTGCATTTTAGGGAGGGTAGCGTCACTCTAGGACTAACACAGTAGACCGAAGAAAGAGATTCCCTTTCTCTCCTCTGAAACCACTCCCAAAACAGTTACCCTGCACCCCTACTTGAAATAGTCCTGCCTCATTCGTTACCATAGTCACCACCACAGGTTCAGACGAATGTCTGGGGAGTTCTTATTTTAGACAAACTATAGTGTCATCACTACAATTGGAACAAAACAAAAGAGCCAGCAGAATGAGTTCTAAACCAATAAGATTTGAATATTTTTTTTGTTCGCCCATAAGTTTGAATAACTGCTCATCTTAAATTAAGTATAATTAGTCAATGTTAAATATTTATAAATATAATTATTAATCTAATCCTTTTATTATACTAAAACTATTCATCTGAGAAAAAAACTAAACTTACCACTCATAAGTACATTTCACCATATAAAATGTTGACTTTTAATTTAGACTATTTATGTTTAGATAATTGTGCTTTATTGATGCGGCATGTAGAAAAATAAAGAAACTTGGAAAAAATCAAATCTCATTTTTTTTTTCTGTTTGGATCAAAAATTGTTGAGTTATCCGCTTTTCACATACAAAATCATTGAGTCTGTACTTCAAATTTTAAAATCACTTAAAACGTTTATTAATATCCCCCTTCTAAAATATTATACTTATTAAAATTTAACCAGTTCTCAGTATAATCCTAACAAAGTAAATACTTGTAATGGTAATCAGAATTAAATCTATAAACACAGATAATTTTACCAGTGTGTAATTATTATTTAAACAATGAATTATTTTTTTTTCGAAATAGTGTAGGAATAAAAAGGCAGTGTTTTTAAGGGATGGCAGCTTATTTTTACAGAAAGGTAAAAAAAGATGCACTTATAAGTATCAAAGGGCAAGCAGGGCGGGCCGCCCTTAAAAAAATGCTTAGGGAGAACTCTGGTTTAGCTATCCCTAATGTTACAAATCTATCTCTGTATCCTTGTGATTTTATTTAAACCCTCAAAATATACAAACAACAAGCGGTAAATTGACAGAAATGAAATTAACAACTTTTTATGTGAAGCTAATGGGTACTAATATTGCACAGAGAAAAAAATTCTTGAACACCTTCCATGGTTAGCCGGATGTTAAGATAACTTTAGCAAAACTTAATTAAAAATTGTTTCATTAAGCTAATTTGTAAAAAACACACTTTCTAGTAAAAAATTAGTTTAAAGTTACCAATGGCAAATTTTAATTATACGTGCTTCTTATCAATATAAACGTAAACCAACTTATACTATTGAAACTGTAATAAAACACATTCAAATTAGTTTTTAGTTGAGCTGTTTAAAAATAATATTTTTTTGTCGTTTTTAAAATAAAAACTATCTTCTAAAATTTTATTTAAATTATAACGACTTGGATTTAACTTTTGTTTGCAACTGTTATTCAATCTACTCTTAAAAATAGCAAACCTGAAAATACAAATAATAAAAATATATTATTGCATTTACTCATTAGCTGAAAACAAATTTAGTATGAGAGTAATACACATCATATTTTTCTACTTATTTGTATTTTATTATGATTTTATTACCTTTAAATAAATATCATGACTAAACATTATCAAAAAATTCTAATGTTTTATTTATTTAACTACCATATTAAATTAGTTAAAATAGTTTTCAACATTAGATTTCTGATTTTGCATTTCTTTCTCAAAGGTTCCCTGTTTTCACCAAGGTTTCCTTAAATTAAAACTCTGCAGTAGAGTGAAATATGTCATGCCTAAATCAGTTATTTCAGTTTGATTATAAAGAAAGTGATAGAATGAATAATTGTGTAAATTATATTAAATTCATAACAAAGATTCTTAATGTATAATTGAAATTGAAAATTATCAGAAAAACCTTTTAACCCTGATATACTAATATATTTCATAATATTTAATATTTTGATTAAATATTTAGTAACTCGTCTAAGTTTCATTAAAATTGTGAGAAAAAATAGACCTAAGTAGTGTCAGTTATTGGTAACATATACTTAAAGCACATTTTTCAGATTATGGAAAACATTTTAAGGGGACAATGGACGTTCAAAATGAGTAAAATTCGTAAAATCTTCAATTTTTGTGATTTTAAAAAAATTCACACTTTTGTGAGCATTATACAACAAACAGAATTAAAATTGAAGCTTTAGTTGTTGAGTTATAAAAGTTTCAATTTGTAAACAAACTGCTGGCATGGAAAATGAAAACGAAACTAACGCCGTTTCTGCTTCAAAACTGAGTAGTAGAAAGCGAAACTAACTTTTTCTCACTTTAGGAAATACTTTTAGCTCACATAGAATTAATTTATTTANGTACCTTAAAATTCTGGTAGTGTCACCACTGCAATCAGAACATAACAAAATAGCCAGCAGAATGAATTCAAAACCAACAAAATGTAAATAATTTGTTTGTTCTTGCGTAGGTTTGAATAACTGCTCATCTTAAATTAAATATAGTTGGTTAACGTTAAGTATTTATTAATAGAATTTTTAATATAATATCTTATCTTTTTGCTATACTAAAACTTTGTACCTGAGTAAAAACTAAACTCACCACTTGCAAGCAAGTTTCATCATATGAAATGTTGAATTTTAACTTAAACTATATGTGAATAGATAATTGTGCTTTAATAAAGTGGCATGAAGAAAAATAAAGAAACATGGAAAATTTTTGTATCTTTTGTTTGGAACAAAAGTAAGAGTTATTCGCTTTTTTCATGCAAAATCATTGATTCTGTAAACGTTAAAATCTTCAAAACGTCTTATTTTGATATAATATTTTTGCAATGTATGTTTTTATTAAGTTTTTTCACTTTTTTATAGTATGGTCACCAAAAAGTTTAAGAATACTAGTAGCAAGGCACATGTAACTTTAATTCTATTTTTCAGATTAATGTGCGCTTAAGATATGCTGATTAGTTTCATAATTATTTATTCAAACATTGTTCACTTTTTTACAAATCATTACTGCTCTAAAGTGAGCTTCAAAAGTAAAACAAAAAACAGAATATTGAATAATTTTTGATTGGCTCGGTAGTATCATGGACTGTTGTACCACTCAGTTTAATTATCAGCTACTCTTAAAATCTGATACTCTGCAAGAAATGTAAAAATAACCAAAACCAATGTTGAACTGAAGATTCATATAACAGTTTAGCCAGAGTTCTCCCTAGGAGTAAAAATAAAAGGGCAGGGACTTTCATTTCTGAAAAGGGCACTCACTTAATGTCGTAAAATTAAACCTATCAACACGCATAATTTTACCAGTGTGTAATTATTATTTAAATTGTGAATTAATTTTTTTCAAAATGGCGTAGGGATTAAAAGGCAGCGTTTTTAAGGGATGGCATTTTTTTTTTTTTTTTTTTACAAAAAGGACAACAAAGGTGCATTTATAAGGATCAAAGGGCAAGCAGAGCGGGTCGCCATTCTAAAAACGCTTAAAGAGAACACTGATATAGCTTTCCCTAATGTTAAGAATCTATCTGTATCCTTGTTATTTTATTTAAACCCACAAAATATAAAACAATGAATTACTTTTTCTGTGAAGCTAATGGATTAAGTATTGCACTTTGTAAAAGAAAAATCCATGAACACCTTCCATGGTTAACCGGATGGTAAGCGAACTTCAACCAAACTTAATAAAATTGAATTTACTGAGCTAATTATTAGTAAGAAATGCACTTTCTAGTAAAAAAATTAGTTTAAAGTTACCGATGGCCAATTTTATTTATGCATGCTTCTTTTCAATATAATCCAACTTATACTGAAAATGTAATAAAACACTTTCAAATTAGTTTTTTTGTTGAGTTCATAAAAAATAAAATGTTTTTTTGTTCTTAAAATAAAAACTATCTTTCAAAAATTTATTTAAATTATATCGACTTAGTTTAAACAAGTGCTTTATTAGGATATTAATCTCCAATGAAGTGTAAATTAGTAACAACATTTTTATAATTAATGTGCTACTTGTAACGAAATATTTGTTTTGTTTGCAACTTATTCAATCTACTTTTAAAAATAGCAAGCCTGCAAGACCAAATAATAAAAATATATTGCATTTACTCATAAGCTGAAAGCAAATTTAGTGTGAGAGTAATACACATATTTTTTCTACTTATTGGTATTTTATTTATTATGATTTTATTACCTTTAAATAAATATGGCTAAACATAATCAATAAATTTCCCTATTTCTAATGTTGTTATTTATTTAATAACCATATTAAATTAGTTAAAATAGTTTCCATTATTAGATTTTGCATGTCCTCTAGGGAACACATTTTTCTCCCAAAGGTTCCCCCTTTTCACTAAGGT